TGAATCATATTTTTATTATGAACTAAATATAAAATTATGCAATTATTGAACTTAAAACTACTAATTTGAATGTAAAAAACTATAAAAAATCACAAACTCTTTCAGTTCAAAGTGCTAAGCTTAATTCGCGTAAAGACCATGCACTTACTACTTAATAAATCTTAACCCTAACATTCGTGGATCAACTTCTTTCCTAAAAATATATCTATTTTGAGTTAATTTTTCAAATAGATATATGATACAACATGACTTAAGCTACTACAGAAAAATAATAGTCACATACATCCCATTCAGTTTTCTCCAGAAGCAACTTTTCTAAGGCTCATAAAAAGTATTATTGACCAATAATAAATACAACTTCTACATTAAATGGCAGTTACTATAATGAGCACCCTTCACGTTCATACTGTAAAACCCAGAGAACAACGTATCGTCACGTGCTTTGCTTATCAGCCTATGATTTGTCAAATGTGAAATACAGCGATTGGAATAACATCGTGCTGAAATTGACACCCCTCGACTAGGATTTGGGGGCCATTTTGTCTTATCGTGAGGGCAAAATCACATTTGTGAATTGAAATAATTATAGAGAACTTATCTTTTTATTGGATTTCAGATTTTTTTTTGTAAATAGAAGCATAACATTGAATTATTTGTACAAAATTGTATTATTTAAAGAAGTTTAAAGAGAAATTTAATAAAATAATGCCAAAATACGTTTGAGACTATAAATAAGCATTCTAAAAGAAAACAATTTTTTCAAAATTTTTTTAGCATTTTTTTCCTTGCACTTTAGCACTGCTCCTGCCATCTGTGATTGGTATCTAAACCTTTTTCTAGTCTGTTTTCTTTATAAAACAGTGTCTGGGTGTGTTAAACCTCAGTTGTAAAACTTTTAGTAGTAGGTAAGGGGTTAATGCTCTGGTGAGGCTCCAAAATCCTTTTAATATAATGTATTCAGCCCTCTATATAATAATGTATAGTAACACTCACTTGTATTCTAGTTCTTTTCCCTTTAGAAACCCATAAACCAGAGCTGCTGTTTCTGGACCATGGATCACTTGACCTTTGAGTACATTTTCTTCAAGCTTACTAAAAACCTAGAAAATAATAAGAATTGTAGACAGTGTAAATTATAAATAAAGCCATAAGTAAGAAATGCATACACTGGAAAGTTTATATCTTGACATAGAAGTGTACAGACCTAAGATTAATAAATTTTTGAAAGTTTTCTGTTCATAAGTGTTATATACAGGGCAACAAAATGAACAACTAACATTTCAGCTATGCAACGGTAATGTGCATGTGAGAAAGTACAAATATTAAACATTTCCTAATACTAAGTCACTACTTTATTATGGACTCACCTTTCCTGTAATGAAATATTTAGCTGCTAACCAGTCCCTGTGGCCATAACAAGATGCTACCAAATCACCAACTCCACAGTTTTCCAAAAATGTCCTTAACTTGGCACCAGGATAATACATTCTAGTGAACCAGACCATTTCTACTAGACCTAAACGAACCACAGCTGCTTTAACATTTTCTCCATAACCTAGTCCATCGATAAATCCAGCAGCACAAGCCACAATACTCTATAAACATTGAAAAAAAAAAGTTTAATTTTACAGTGAGATGTTTAAATACCACTCACAATACCGTGAAAATACATAAAATGTTGAAAAATATTTGTTCTTTCACCATTTAACTGTAAAATTACATTCTTTACTTCCTACTGGAAGTTTGTGATTTTCACTCTTATTCACTCTCAGCCTTGTAACAATGTCTGTCTACACCTTTCTTAAATGACAGCCCCTTATAAGCAGCTGGGTCTCAAGTAGGTAATTTTATTTTACAATTTTAGCTGTGTGTGTGTGGAACCTTGGTTGAAAGAGCATTTAGATTAAACTTTTCAAAAAAAAAAAAGATAAATTATTTCTATCCAGCTTTACTTGCTTCTCATCATTGGAATTAATTTTTCAACATTATTTCATTCCTTTGTTCAAGAAAGTTTTAGCTGTTTATATTCTGTACCGATAAGTGGCAGTTATCATTCATTTATCTACAATTTCTTTGTTTCCTGGTTCTTTGTTTGAGATTCTTGGACAAAGGTACAAAAGGGATACCTGCACAAGTTATCCCTAATTTTGAACTGATAGACTTGTGGAAAGGCAGCTCATTACTGATCATCTCAGCACTGATCCAGAAAATTACAATAACTGGACTGACAAAGAACAAATTAATTAAAGAAAAATCTTTACAATAACTTATGCTGGTAACACAGGAAAAGAGCTTTTATCCTACACTATCTATATGTTTTACCCAAAACATCGTCATTAGTTTGTTTTTTTGAAAAAAGGCCATGTTGTTAATGAAAGGGTTTAATAATTTTTTTTATTTCCATACCCTTACTTGCATAATTTTTCTTGTGAATAAAACACCAAATCTGTGTGATGAATAGCAGTGTACAAGAATTTATCAATGTCCAACATATTTTAAATGTGAACTATACATTACATAAACACAAAAATGTATGCAAATTCTGATAACAAAAAAATAAGTTCATATATAGCATATTTAACCAAGGCAGGGTGATGAACTCCTTTCAAATAAAAGAATAAAAGTCACCCATTTTGGAGTAAGTTGGAGAATAGTTTATACTTTCACTGAAATGTTATTGTTTACAAAACTTTAACCCTCTTTTTTTATGCAAATACATAAAGCAACAAGATAATAGCAAAAAAAAAGTCCAACTTTACATTGTGATGTAATGTAAATAATTATAATTTTGTATACAAAACATTACATTACAGCTCAATCACTAGTAAAATTGTGTTTTAATACATGATAATTTGGCTTATGCATTCTATAGAAATGAAATTTGATATTTTGGTCCAACCTCAGATTTCATTTTCAACTATAAAAATTTCCTGTAATTCTTTTAATTTGGTTAATTTTGGATATTTATTTAAAAACACACAACATAAGATACTTTTATATACCAGTTGGTGATAATTCCAGCACTATTTAGAGATACAATATTAAAACTTTGGTATCAGTATGATTAACAGCTGTAATACCACAAAACATTAACTTAGCCAGTATCATTATAACTTAAAGTGAACCACTACATTTAGTTAATTTGTTGATGGGTACAATTAATTAAAATCTTGACAAAAGTTACGGTCTCATAAACTTCCTGTATGGCAAACTGTATCTGAACAATAAATATTTTCCAATTTCTACCTTTAAAGCACCACACAGCTCAACAGTTGTTACATCATTAATACAGGTTAAACAGAAATAGTTGCTCTTCAGTAAAGTACTGAACAAATGAGCTACTTCTGGGCTGGAACAGCCTGGAATGAAAAAAAACAAACAAACTGTATATGATAAATTGTAACACTTGAAATATTCCAGAGTTTGTAACAAACTAGAATATTTTCATTCTGTTATACACATTTTAGTTATGAATTTTTATGTAATATTTTTCAATTACAGTTTACGATTCTTTAATATTTAATAGTAAATACAATATATTATTTCAATTTAAAGAAATCATATCAGAGAAGCTTTACACTAAACTAAGAAAATGTTATCATGTGTTAAGGTTACTTTTAACTTTTTTTTTAAGGTTTAAGGTACTTCACATAGCATTAGATAGTTTTATGGTCATCCAAAATCATTCACACAACTTAACTTTACAGCATACTGAATAGGAGGGAAGAAAAGTGTATTAAAACTAAGATTTGTATTTTATTGGTAGGGTAAATTAAATTGGTTATATTATTTTAAAAGCAATAATTATTAACTGAATGTTCACAGGGTCAGTCCCATTGAATTGACTCTATATTGGAGAAGGAATTTGGACTACTATCTATACAATATGTGGCAAGTTTTTTGTAATAAGTATAAGTTTGTTGTATACAAAAATCAGATGTGTTACAAAAGTATTTGTAGTTGAGATATGTCTGTAAATTGATAATACCAGTCTGACTCAGGCTCTTGAAATTCAAAGTGCAAGGTGATGTTCACTTAAATAATAAAGATATTTTGCTCTTACTACAGTTTGCATATTTGCATAGCCTCTAGCACTTCAGAATTGTATAAATAGTGAATATTCAATTACAGCAACTTATGCAATAGATTTTAAAATTAAAAACAAGATCAACGTTACCGAAACATGTAGAGTCTTTTTGATTTTGGCCGTCGACCAAATATAAATTTTATTGTGCATTTTATGCTTTGTGCTACCATCATCAGAAGTAAAATCCTACATGACGAGCGAGTAATTTTATAAAGCAACGGTTTAAATCATAATCTGTGAGGGTGGTAAGAGTATTGTACATAAGAAGCCGATATTTGTTTCCAAAACTGTGCATTATCACCAGCTAACCCTCCATCTCTATTTAACAAAGATTTATATATTTTACAGCACAAAATTTATATTGATTTTCTAATATTTAATTCACTTTGGCTATTAGATTCATTTAAAATTCTTCTTTCTTGCCATTGTATTGAATGATCTGTTTCAACAATATACTCAGCAAGGGGACATATTAGCATTTTTTTGTTATGTACATAACCTTTATGTTCATTAAGATGACAGTTAAAATTACAATTAGTTTGACCAATATATTTTTTATTGCATTCACACTTAATTTTATGTGTACCTTTTTTCTCTAAAATGTCTTTTTTATCTTAGATACTAGGAAGTATTGTTTTAATTTTGTTAAATGGTTTAAAAATGGGATTAAAATTATTTTTTCTGAATACATTGGCAATCTGGCTAGTTATACCTTGTATATATTGTAATAGAACTGTACTGTTAATTTTATTATCATAGACACTGTTTAATCTAGTACATTGCTTGATAAAAATTTAATTGTATTTTCTTTGTATTACATGTTCAACTATATCAATATTATAACCTCTGTCATTAGCAATGCTTTTTATATAATTTGATTCGTTTTCCAAATTTGTAGAATCAGAACAAGTATTAAATGCTCTGTCTATACAAGTATGAAAAGCTGCTAATTTGTGAGAAAATGGACGACATGATCTTTGATGTGGCAGCAGAGAGACTGAATATGATTTCTGATAAACAGTTGTGGAAATAATTCCATTATTATTTCTTTTAACAAGTACGTCTAAAAAAGATAAACAATTACATTGTTCAATCTCATACGTAAACCGAATAGTCTTAGAAGGATCAACATCACTTAGATAATTGACAAATGTTTTTAACTCAATATCTCCATGCTGCCAAACCAAGAACAAATCTAATCCAACAATCAAGTTTTAAAAAAGCATTATCAAGAGCAATACATTCGAAGCTATCCATATAAAGGTCACATAGGAGTAGAGAAAGAGGGGAACCCCTGGCTAATCCAATATTCTGCTCATAATACTTTTCACTAACTTTGAAAAAATAATTGTCAATACAAACTTTAGTTAAATTAATAATGTCAACAATTTTGATTGAAGAAATGGAAGCTTGAACTAATCGGTCCTGAAAACAATTAATAGCATCTTCTACTGGGACTATAGTAAACAATGAAACTATATCAAAAGATACCAACTTATGAGAAGAATTAAGTTTAATGTTTATATTTTTCTCAACAGAATTTTAATAGTATATTCATTATTACTCCTCAAATACGAAAACTGTTGAGCAATGTACTTTGCAACATACTGTGACAAGGTGCCTATACTAGATACAATAGGTCTAAAACTATTGTTCAATTTATGAATCTTAGGTAAAGCATAAAATCGGGATGGACAAAAATTGGAAAGAATCAAAACTCTTTTTTTTTTTGTTCAGGTGATAAAGTTATATATTGGTCAACATGTTTTTTATCAAGCTATGAAATTTTGTTGTAGGATCTAAGGGAAACATACAAACCATTACTTAACAACTGATCTACAATAGAAATGTAAGCACATTTGTTCAACACCACTACACACCCTCCTTTGTCAGCATGTGTAATAACAATATTATTGATATTCTTTAAGGGCTATAAAGCTATTTTTTCTTCTTCCATCAAATTACTGTTCATTTTGATATTTTGTTTTGACATTAATTGCTGGCATCAATATCTTATAACATAGTTTTAATTTTACTATCATTAATTTGTTCAATGTTAGATTCAATACTAGTTATTAAATCTTTAATAGGTAGAATTTGTGGAGTTACCACAACATTTAAGCATAAACTCAATATATTAATTTGCATGTTAGTAAAGGTTGACATCAGACTTATTAATAACTTATGGGTTACATACTGGTACTATTTCAGAAATTTCCTTTTTTCTTAGGTGTAAATAAAGATTTAAACTTGATATTTAGTTGCTTACTATACTGTTCATTTTTTTTTCAATTTTGTTCCAACAGTAATTCTAATACCAAAGACTGCTGAAACCATCAAATTCAGGATCTTTTCTAACATACTGAAGATGACTTCTATAGACAGCAGCTTTAGTTTGAAGATTTCATTTCTTTTCTCTTCTATCTTGATCTTTAATAATTTGAATTTAGTTTTTTTTCCACAAGACATGTTGTATGTCTTTTTTTTTTATTACAGTTGACACTGATGAATTTTGGTATTACCACATTGTTTTTGCCTTTTTTTATCTTTACTCTCCTCTACCACAAACTGTCACTAAATCAGCAGGTAGAGTAAAATGAATAGTTGAAACTCTGATATCAAATACCATGTTGAAAGATACTGAGTAAAAGGATGTGGCATGTGCATTTTGACCCTACCTGTATATAAAACATTGATCTAGACATCTTAAGTTTCATTATGTTGTTCCTACAAGTACATGACTCTTATGGAGTTTGGAATGCAAACTTCAATATATGGGTCTTACTCATTAACCCCAGTGGTCCTGTCCATTTATAGTAAACTATTTCATTTTAAACTTTCTTTTCTCACTTCAGATGCTGAATGGTTAGGTGAAGGTCTTTCTGAGTTTTATTGCTCATATTTTCTCCTAATGTTTATTTATGATTTTATCCTGTATATAAAGCTCCAATATATAAGTTAAGTTCAAACTGTTAGACAATACACCTCCAAATTTCTTTGAGTTTTACTTTGTCTTTCACAAGTACCTATTACAAAACAATTTATTTTCCAAAGTTGTAGCTTATACCTGTTTTATTTGTTCACCCTTTACATGTAATGCCTTTTGAATTTGGAGTGGTTATCCAAAGTTTTTTTAATATCAAGAAAAGATGACAGATGCAGTTATCTTACACTTGCTTTCCTTCAGATGCTAAAAATTAACATGACTGAATTGTTATCTTTGTAATATATACTTTAAAAACTATTTCAATTCATTGTTTTAATTTTTGAAAAGTTGTAATATTTATGTATAAGGATTTCCTATATCATAAAATAAATTATCAAAGAATGATCTTTTGGGAAATACCTGCTGTGTTTAAGTCTCACTAAAAAACTAAAGGATAGAGTTGTGACACTTACTAGTTTGGTCTCAGTTCAAAAATGTATTTGAGGGGCCTACACAAGTGTAAGCCATAATTTATTGTGACAGTTGCAGTAATAGAATAGTGTAAAGATATATGTAGAGTAATACTGAATTAACCTAAAGTTTATGCTAAAAACACACAGACTGAACACAGATGTATAAAACACAATGAAACAATCTATATGATTAAAAAAGTAATATGTGTACGTGGATGGAAAGCTTTTTTAAACTTCATTAAACTAAACAAAAATGAAATTAGGAGTATGGAATAGGATCTGTCATCTTTCAGAGCCACACCCCTGACAGCAGTGTTTATGTGGTAAGGTTCTGTGTATGAATTTCTTTATTTTTGTTTCAAGTACTTGAGTACAGGTACAGTTACCTTGTTGATTTTTAATACTTACCTCCGATACCAAGCTTTTGAAAGTGCCAATAGATCTGTTGTCTCTTACTAGACAAGTCAATCAATTTGTCATTTTTGATCAGACTTTTGAGCTCAAAGTGCCTCTTGTACTAGAAGTGTTGGTGGGTACCCTGTGTTATGGAATAGGCTTAACCTCACAGTCATTGAAACATCCTGCACAGCCATTAGTTTGTTCAGAATTCTGTTTTAATTATTTTAAATACACAGCACTGCCTTTATATTTTATAAACTTTGTGCATTCAGATATGAAACATCACAAAAAAAAATTTTTTCATATAAAAAGCATGAGTTTTTCTCCCAAGTCTTTATTATAACACAACCATGCATGCCTGTGTTTGTTTCAACTGGACAATGGGTAGCCACCTTTACTGAAGGTGGATTTATCCAACTGGCATTATTCCCTCAAGATTTATTCCTGGCCGACCAACTCACCCAAAATGCTGTTCCAGAGTGATTAGAGCTTATGTTATTTAGTTAAAATATTATCATCACACTTATCTAGAGCAACTAGTGATACCAAGAAGTGATCATTCCCATTTGAAAATAAGGGATGTCGTAACCTTAAAATATCACATGAATTATTATTAGAGAGTATATTTGTCTACTTGCATACAAAAGGTGCAGCTTTACAGCAATAATCCCCAGAGGTAGACCAGGTGTTATTTCAAAGGAATGAGAAGAAACAAAGTTAAAACAAAAGAAACTCAACTTTCTTGCCTGAATACCACAGAATGATAGGCTTTCTCACTCCACTGATTCATAATGTATGTTAAATAACTTAAAATGCATGCTTAGCACACTGCTAACTTTAATTGTTACATATTATTACTTGGTCTGTAATTTCTTTAAAAAAAAAAGGGGTCAATGATATTAATTATACAAGTATATGTATCAGAATATTTTGTAACCTGAAATTTTTCACCTTAAACATTTCTCAAAAAAATTTCTGTGTATACCTAATGTTGCTTCAGCCAACTCTTCTGCTGCAACTTCAGAGGCAAAAGTTGCTCCCATCAATACACTTACTTCAATTCCTAGAACACGTCTGATAACATCAGAACCTAATTCCAATTTTCCATCTTTTGCAATCAAACCCTAATGACAGAAAAAAAAGTTTCAGCAGTTTGTGTAGGCACCTCGATTTAAACTAGTAAACTAACTACCATATAAGGTTATTTCTGTCACAACCATATTTTTCTATTATGTTTTAAAAGTGGAATTCATATTTGTTATTGATAATTACTAAAATAGAAGTTCATGAAATCTTATCCATCAGTTCATCTTATGTTGAACAACTCAAACTGAAACAGACCTCCAAACTTAATGTGCATTTCACATACAATTTTCATAAAATAAACTTTATTCACTATGACATTGTAATTTTCAAACTGATACCTTAACCTTCACTGACTTCATATCTGAAACATGTCTACGAAGAAAAGATATAAAAGGTAAAAAAAAAAAAATTCCTTACAGGTTTGTTATTTTGAGCTTAGAATTTAGATTTCTGTAAAAGTTACACATGTGTAATCATATTAATAACTGAACCATAATCATCTCAAAGAAAATGGAAAATGTTTAAACCAAAATCATTTCATTTGTTTTTGAGAATTTGTACTTTAAAGATAAAAAAGAAAATAATTAAATTTGTTTCACCAAAATGCTAAATAGTATGTTTTATCATAATTAGAAAAACCTAATATACACTTAATAAAAGGAGATCCATTTTGGAATTTCTTAATTACATTTTGTGATCTCATATATCTTGCTAGTATTATTTTTAACAGTTGATCAGAAAACATAAATGTAAACTGCATCACAATGTAGAACAAAAATCCAGTTACAGATATGAAACATTCCAATGTTATTGGAAAAATAAACTTAAAATTAATTGTTGTGTGACAAGAATATTTGATGACATAACCAGCTCATCTTGCCTAATTTGAGGCATCAGTTATGATTAAGTTTAGTGGACTAGTACAAGGTAAATGTGAAATTTGTTTAAATACAGTTGTCCCTTTCTTGGAAGTCCCATTATATTTCATATATTGGCAAGAGTGTTTAATATCAATCTTTAGGCTAGTTTTTAACAGGTTATTTAGTAAAAGCAGGTTTACCAGAGTAATGAGACAATTTTCTTCCTGGTTAGGAAACTGGGAAAACTATTACAGATCCATCAGGGAACATATTTCAGGTACAAACGGCACATGTCAGAGACATGCAGAAGTTTGAAAACACAACAATGATGGCAGAGAAGCCAGGGATACTTCGTAATTTGCACTCTGGAGCTTACATAAGCCCATATTAACTTTGTTAGATGGCCCTACCCAAAGCCTGTAGTGACTGCCGAGTTTAACAGCCCTGTTGCCACTTTTGCTGTAGGAAAGACAAAACAAATTCCTTGTAAAGAGCCCTTGTCAAGGCAACAAGCAAGTGGGTGAGTCTATTTTAAAATGGTAGGAAATAATTCAAGGTAGAACCCTGGGCTGCCAGAGCCAGCCCTAAATTAAGTTTTTTACAAAAAACCCAGGGGAGCCTCAAACATGATTTTCACGGGGAGGTACTACATTTTGCATTACGCTCTGACTGTAATAATTGCTTCATACATTTTTGTACTAGCATTACATTACAAAGTTATTATGGTAAGTTGATTCCCAAACAGATTGCATGTGATTAATGGATGTTGTCATTGTTGCTTTAGTGCTGCAGTCCAATAATTCTTGTATCCTTTTGCCATTGTATTGTTTCCTTTTGGAGTAAAACATAACTAACAGGTCATAAGTTTGGTTTCATTTTTATACTGCAACCACTAAGTTGATACACAAGAGGACTGAAACTTGTACTCCAATTGAATCATCATATTTAAATTGACAAACTGGATGTTCTAATATCAAAATTAACATTATATAGTCTTAGAGGGTTTAAGTTAATCAAGATTACATGCTTGAGTATTTCTATCATTTCTATATCACTGTTATCTACAACAGGTTCCAAGTCATTATCAGCAGTAAAAGATAAAGGTAGATCTACAATGGCTTATGTTCAATTTGTTTTAAGCTTAGGTAGCCAAAAGTCTTTGAGAGTGCCTAATGTACTTTCTCAATAGATGAGGCTTAATTGATTAGGTAAGTGAAGTAGACTATTCTAACACATTTTGATATAATTAAAGACTAGGCCTAACTAATCAAAGTCATTTGGGATCATTAAGAAAAACAAATAATGGTACTATAGACCTAATTATGATAAAGTAGTTCCAGATCTTGGTAGACAAGTGTAACTGTAATGTTGATGATAATAAGTGACTGCAAACAACTGCTGAAAAGACTGCTATATATGTTTGAGCACACCACCTCTATAATCAGAAAAACCAAATGACATTGCAAAATAGTTAGTTTTTAGACTTTTCTGTAATATAAAATTATATGTAAGCATATGCTTTGTATCAGAAATGATTATAGCTTAGTAGAATCTGTAGATTGGCTTTTACTATAGAGCTATGATTTTTTTCCCTATAATATTACAGACTTAGCTTGTGTCAAGTCTAGCTGTCTAAGTACAATAGCAAAGTGCCAGGTAAATATGTAAATATGAGCCAATCCCACAATTATGCATCTTGGCTGAAAAATTTAAACAGTGCTTAAAGGCTTTTTTGTCTTCAAATTAGTATCTTGTATTTTTCAACTGAATATTATCTCATATGACACAAGCTAAACTCCAAGAAACATCTGACATGAGGGATGACAACCAGTCAACAGCATTTATTGCTTATGCAGCTACTCTTAATTGAGTATCAGGATTGATTATCACAGTTTGTGTCTTCACAGCTGAAAATGCTTAAAAGTATATCAGTTTGAACCTGGAACATTTTGAGTTGAAGCCTGGTACATTAATACCTAGGCCATGTCTGACTTCTTTTTAAAGTTACTCTGATCTATTCTGCTTTTCTTTGGGACTAAGTTAGTAACCCTAGTTACTCCTAAGTTAGTGATTTTGATTTTTGACTAATGACAGTTGAATATTCATCATAAGAGTTAGGTATTTGTAACTCATTAGTAAGTTGGAACTGATAAGCACACTCAATCTTACAGGCAACAGTGTTTCTGTTATATAAGTTGTGTTGATGTAACTTACATTTAGATCATAATTGTAATTATACCCATTTTTGATAACAAGAAAAACTGAAAATTCAACAAATTTTCATATTATGTCAAATAATCAGTACTATGGAGAAAGCAAATCATCTGTTAAGCACCACAATAATTTTGTTGAAAGCATATTACATAGCAAGAAACAAGTCCTTTTTGATACAAGTTCTGTAAAAAAAAATTATAATTATTTCAACATTACCTTTATTAAAGATAATCCCACTACTGATTGTTTTATTCTGCCAGCAATGCACTTGCATGTTTCTTCTAGAAACTTGTGAGGCACAGCAAATATTATAACATCAGCATTTTTAGTTGCCTGGATGATGTCAGTCTCCACTAACTGAGATAGATAAAAAAACAAACCAACTGGTTTTGGTGACTGTTGTTTATTCATTTAATAATTCCAAATAAACCAAGTAATATGTGTGTGTCAGAAACAAGTGCATCAATGAATGACAGTACACTAAATGGAAATGCAATACATATCATAAACAACATAATTTCTGGAGACATTCAGAAGTACAATAGCAATAGATAGTAGAACAATGTATCATCCTTTAGAGAACCAATAGTGTCCTGGGTCAATAGTTCAGGGTAAAAATACAACTTCTGTAAATGAAAAATAATAATTCAAGACAAAATTTTATTTTACAACCATTTAAATAAAATATTATGTGCTTTCTACAATGGTTAGTACTGATTTTACAAAAACTTCCAGGACTTTAAAATCCTGTCACACATGACTGAATTTATATAGTCCTGGAACTTTCTTTCAGACATCCCCACCAGCAGAAATTTCAACAATCTCAGATAGAGCTGGGTGACTTAATCAACATAATCAATTACGTATGAGAGTTGATTTCATCAATTATTGTCATGTAAGCTAATCAATTAATAATTAAATCAATAAATGTCATGAAAGTAATTGAGTAATCAATATTACTATTTCAGATTATTCTAACAACTGCTTAGTCAAAATTACGATTAAATCGATTGTTACAAAAATAAACTACTAATCAATATCAGCATTTCTGATTATTACTGTTTTCAGTTACTACAATAATTAACTAATCAAAATTATGACTAAATGGAAGATCACAAAAATAACTAACTAATAGAAATTAGTTCTTTTGATTATTACAAATATCCACGTAACCAAAATATTGCCTTTATTTTTGTTTGTTGATAAACACAAAGCACAGGAAGTATTGAGAACCAATTTTAGCATTATAAGTTTATTTAATTTCAAGTTTGTTCAGGTTTGAGCATGCATGGCCTGGTAATTTAAGGTAGTGGTATTGGATGGGTAGGGTGCCTCGTGATTCAAGGGTCTTGGGTTTGATTCCCATTACCACCAAACTGGCTTGCCCTATTTTTGTTCTGGTAAAGATACTAAGGTTATTTGCCACTGTCACAAATTTTGAACTATTGACTATAGGAAAAACAACTGGTTGGTAGTATCCACCGCCAATGTAATTACATAATTGTACTCCTTAATGTTGTATAAAGAACATTTTTTAATACAAAAATTAATAACTGTCAGTGTTTTTATTTGAAGAAACATGCAGCTCTTATAACATACTTTTACAGAATCGATTTTTCATTACTCAGAAGTTTCAATTCTTGTGAGAAAAATGTTTTTTGTAATGTTGTTGTCTAAAATAAGTGAGAATGCAAGTAGTATGACTTCATAAGTAACAAATTAAAAATGTTTGTTTTTAAACAGGCATCCTCTTCACTAACAAATGCTATAATTTTTCCAAAGTATGATTATAAATAATTTTAGTTTAATTAATAATATACTTTAACCAAAAAAATTTGAAATGTTTGTTTTTAACTGTTTATATTTTCAAATCAATCACATTACCAGAAATAAAGATACATGCTTTGAAATTGCTGGATTATAACTCAACTGAGTTATTTTAACTTATTTAGGTTACCTTAGGATTATATGGTCAACACTAATTGATCTAAAAGTTAACATTTTCTTACACTGAAAATATCTTTCCGATAGGTACTTACCTCCTCTCATGTAAAGCTATCTCAATCTTCTTTCTGCCCTCTAAAAATTGATGAAAAAAATTTCACACTCAGTACACCAGTTTAAATATCCCACTAATTTCATGCTGCTATTGAACGTGTACATAGCATGTGACTACTCTCCTCCAATACTATTGCACCACCTATATTGGTGCAGCTAGCTCCCTCTGCCATTCCCATTCAATCTTCACTTCTAAGAATTGACAGGCTCTAAAAGAAGAACACCGGCAGTTGGGAGGAAGTGTGTGAGAGGGTGGTAAGTTCCTATCGGAAAAACATTTTCAGTGTAACATAAAATGTTAACTTCCGATATGGTCTTACCTCCTCTCACACAAAGCTAGAATCCCACATTGCAAAGATGGAGGGGCCAGTGTAGGTGCTCAACACTGAAACCAAACTGAAAGTGACCATCCAGAAGAAACTTGTGTGCTCCGAGATTAAATTGAAGCACACATGTGGGGTACCATGCTACATCTAGAACAGGTATGCTCTTTGCCTTTGAAGGAGGAAATGAATCTGATACAAGCAGAAAAAAAGGATGTGCACAAGTGCAATTTGGTCTCAGATGTGCAATCCATAGTAAAATATAGACTGAATAAGCAATGTAGATACCCAACCTCAACTGGACAGACAAGGCTCCATAACTCATCCTCGGCATTAGGAGGTTGAAGATCAAAACAAATAGTGTAACATAAACATAGTGGCTAGGGCACATGGATCATGTGACATATACTCATCAACCACAACCATAAGTAAACTAAGTGTCATACATCAAGCAACTGGAATTACAAATAGGAAGTCAGCAGTCAACCAAAACTGGACAAACTCCCAAAACCATCATAGGAGCAAGAAACACAACAAACTGAACATGCCATTACAGGGTCATGGTACTGCCTCAACTCAACCACAACAACAGGGCAATATCTGTAATCAGTATTATGAGAAGAAATAATAACTCGCCCAATCATAAATGCAGGGAAGAGACATCCTGCATCCAGAATTATGGAAAATTCCCTTAACCATAGGAACAGTGTATGTACATCCCATTGCTGGTATTACAAGGCAGACAAAGCCCACCAAACTCAACCATACTCGACCGGCAAGTCAAGAAACAACCAAAAAAACCAACTTTGAAGAGTGATCTACTCCAAGTTTTGAAGCAAGAGTGAGCAAAAATTCCACAATCTAAAATTGACGAGATGATTCTCACGATGCCCCAAACGATCAACAAACTCCACGAAGCGAAAGGAAGATCTACTAGATATTACTTAAATTATAAATATATCAATTCATGTGAATATGACTGAAAAATTAAATTTTTTCTGAAAAGGTGGTATCTATTTACTTGTGACCACACTGTGTAATATAACACATATACCACTGGACAAGCAGCCAATGGTTTTATAGAAACACCCCATTTCAACTGTGAGCATTATAGAAGTATACAGATTTAGTACCAATATAATATTAAGCATACCTGACCAGGTAACACCCACCATCAGGTAGGATCCCAAAATATGATGTAGATCAACTAAATAAGATAAAAAATAATAATACATCGACTTACCACAGTCAAAGGTCAACAGATGTGTGTAGAAAACCTACAGGAGGGAGACACAGGTAGGTCATGCAGAGAATGTGCGACAACTGTATTGGGAGTTGTCCACATACCAGCCTGAATGATCTTCTATAAAGGATGGCAAAAATCGAGCAGCTAAAGACATAATTAAATGACAAATATGGTGTCAAGAAACATTATGCAAACAACAACCTTCTATGGACAAGTTAGAATATGACAGTCGTACAAGTTGAAAAACAGAACCAGTGAGCGCAATAGGCAATAGACCACTGGAAACAGAAGAATTCTGAGGAACAAATAGACAGGAACGAGAATCACAAAAGATAACAGTGCGAGCCACATAACATAGCATGGAACGAATGGGACAAAGTAGTCAATCTAGATCTGAACAGGAGTAAAGGCTAAACAACATTCCCAGGCAGCCAATATCATGGGAAGGAAGGCTCATCCAGATAGAGTATAACATATGAGGAATACTAAAGGATGTGGGAAACATTAATGGTATAATGCAGGGAAGAGGAGGAAATAGGTTTGAAGGGAAAGATGACACAAAGAACATGTTGCAATGGGTTAAAAGGGAGAACTGGACAGGGCATGAAGGACAACACTGGGGTCCCACATAGGCAAAACAAAAGGACATAGTGGACGGACGAGATGAAAGGAACAGAAAAGGAGGGAAATAACCTGGGAGTTGAAGGCATTACAGAAGTGGATGAATGGAAGGTGTTCAACACAGCAGCCTTATAACTAGCAATAGTTGACATGGACAAACCCTGATCAAACAACCAGGTGAGAACTGGGATAGATAAGGAACAGAAGGACAGGATGGGTGGAAGCCATGGTGAATGGACCAAAGTCTGAAGGAAAACCAATGCTACTGGTGCACAGACAAGGAAGAAGGTCGAAAGGTATAGGCAAAGAAAGATGCTACACTAGGGGCGAGTTCCTAAGTTGAGACAAGGGACCGGTCAAAAGCCACATAAACAAATGGAGTTTAGTGACATTAGAATGAGCCATGTCAGATTGTGGTTGTCAGAGAGGAGACCGTGACAGAGGTAAGGGCAGAGGATATCGCTCCAACAAGGGCCAGAGCAGAAGGAAGAATGTCTGAGCAAGCCAATACAGAGCAACAAGCAGGATACATCAAGGAGTGGTCTGGAGAAGGGAAAAACTCTGGAGAGGAGTCTGATTGGATGTTAGTATATATGTGAAAACACACCAAGATTGCCAGGTAGTGGTTGTGAGCCCAATAAAGCATCTGAAAACACAGATATCTGGATTTGATGCATCCTTGCTTGGTGATATAGCAGACAACAGTGGACTAGTTAGAATGAATCACAACCACCCACCTCCTCAGGCATGAAAGGAAATCATACAGGGCCCAACAAACTGCCAAAAGTTCCAGGAGGTTGAAATGGAGAATAGCCTTCTTGACAGACTATTGACCAGAAATTTCTAGCATTGTAAGTCCACAGACATACCACTGTGCCACTGGGGGGCCTCAGGGTAAAGGATAATGGGATGGTGCAAGAGATTGTGGGAGAAGTTCTACTGGTCGAGAAGCATCCACTGAAGGTAATGAGAGCTTCCAAGGAAGCTCACATCCACTAAAGAGAGAGAGAACCCCTCACACAATGAAAAATGGAGAAGGTACGGCAATTGAGACTGCCCACACCATATTCCCGAGCCAAAGTGGAGAAAGCGGGGCCCGACAAAGATGG